CGGCATCTAAAAGAACAAGGCAATCAGACCCACAGATTGAATAGAAAGGTAAAATCCTGACTCCCTGAAGTTAATAGAAATTTTGTCTTTGATGTCAATGAGGCTTGGATTTCATTCTAAGTTTGTCACCTGGCAGCTCAGATCAGCTGAGAAACCAGATCAGACCAGGTTGCCTTTTGATTTAAATCCTGATAAGTGACATATTATATTTGTACACTCAGCAAATTAGTGAATTCCAGCAACCAAATGGTCAGTTAAATCTTCGCAGTGAACACACATACCCTAAACCAGGGATGGGCAATTAAACAGTGGCAGTTCACCAGGGCTAGTCCCTGGTGGGCTACTGCCGCTATATTTACCTGCACCTCCACAAGTGATTGCTGTTCCCATTGGCCAGAAATAGAGATCCACAGACACTGGGAGCTGTGATCCTTGCATCTGTGAAGACACAGGTAAATACAGTATTGTGGGGGCCCCCAAGGGACTAACTCTGTCAGACCGGATCCAGCCTGCAGACCTGTATTTGCCCTCTGCTTGCCTAAATTGAAGTTTGTATGGCTACTTGCTCCTTTTAGCTAAATGGCCAAGGTATTTTACAACTATCTGCCTTCACCTCTGGACTACCCAGATTTGTCTGCTGATGACCTTAGGAAGAGTTTATGTAGCTGATTAGATTGATGTTTTGTTCTCGCTTAAAAAAATATTTTTTTCAAGACAAATGAAGATTAAACCTTGTTCAGGAAAAAAAAATCAAGCTAGGAAGATGTTTTTGTGACTTTTCACCACTCGAGGGAATATTTAGCAATGAAGCTAGGATCCTTTTAGGCCATGTCTATACTAGCGAGAAGATCAATGCTGCAGCGGTTGATATTCTGGTGTTCGATTTAACTGATCTAGTAAAGACATGCTAAATCAAATGCAGAGAGCACCTCTGTTGATGACAGTATTCCTCAGTTTGTGAGAAGTACAATGGGGACAGATGCTCCCATCAACCTTTCCATTGTTAAGCTGGCATAAAAGATCGAATTAAGATATTTCAATTCCAGCTGTGCAATTAACGTAGCTGGAGTTGCATATCTTAATTTGAAATTCTGGGTAAGTATGGATGTGGCCTTAGACCGGGAGTGAGAAAACTTTTTGGATCAAGGGTCACATCTATACAGGGAAATTGTATGAATATAGGGCTGAAGCAGGGGATAGAGGTATGCAAAGAGGTGCAGGGTGCAGAGGTGGGCTCAGGACAGGACTTTGGGGTGCGTGATGCAGGCTCCATCCAGGCACCACTTATCTCAGGTGGCTCCCAGTCAATGGTGCAGACTCCCCTTCTGCCCTGGCCCTGTGTCACTGCAAGAAGTAGCTGGCACATCTGGCTGTGTCTCCTGGGGGAAAGGGAGCCGGTGGTTCCACACATTGTGCTTGTCTGTGGCACTGCCCCCACAGCTTTCACTGGCCCTCAGTCCCTATTCCTGACCCATGGGATCTGTGGGAATGATGCCTGATGATAAGGGCGGGAGACAGAGCCCTCTGTTCCTGCCTCCCAGAGACAGGGACATGCCAGCTTCTTCTGGGAGCAGCATGGGGACAGGGCAAGGCGAGAACCTGCCTTAGCCTCACTGTGCCACCAGACTGGTAATCCTAAAGGCTAAATTAAAATCCCTGATCAGTTGGATATGGTCTGCTGGCCATAATTTGCCCACCTCGTCTTAGATCAACTGGATCTGATGACAATTTGTGATTGGTTTCCATAAGAATTGCTGTGACTAGAACCCACAAGAGAAGATGCAGCAAGTCTCAAAGGAAGAGCTCTTCAAAGGCAATGGAAGATTTTCATTCTATGAAAGTAGGGAGTCCTGATGTGTATGTTGAGTGCTTAAAGGAGTGTTTCTTTACCAATGTAATCGCTGATGACGGAGAACAAAAAATGGTTTTGAAGTTTTTTTATGATTTACCACACAGAGCACAAATATGAAATATGTGGGAACAAACTTAATGCTGGCATAAGAGGTGTAATTCCCTCAACTTGAATGGAGTTGCACCCACTTTGGCTGGTGGTGAATATGAAAGTATTTGCAAACTTAATGCCACCATAAAAAACAAGTGAAAATGGTTAAAGGCCTTAATTCAAATTTAAAAGGGATGTTATGTTCCCAGAACAAACTTTACTGTAGAACATTACAAGATACACTTCTGGATTCAGCTAGAAGGCACTTTTCAAGTACATCATCAATGCAAAGACAGAGTTGTTTCATTTGGAGCAATTTCTGAATGAAAGGCAATTTGACACAGGACTGTCCGTAGTGAGCTAAAGAAATACTTCTTATACTCTACATGTTCAGAAGATTTTACATTAGTTTGACAATAGAAATATACCATGGTTTTGAATCCTTGTGTGTAATGGCACATAAATAAAAATGTCACAACTTTTCCAATAAAGGAACAACAGCAGTGTTGGGATGTACTGTACTGGATGCCTGCCTTGGTAGCACCTTTTGCAGACTAGATTGCTACAACCAGAGCCATCCAGGGCATACTTGAAAGAGGTAATTAAGGAAAGCAACATCACACTGGACACCATTGATGAGAGATGGAAATCCTCAGGCTGTGGAAAGTACATCGTTGTTTAATCTGAAGACCTAGAGGAGGCAACTTCAGCTACTGGCCAGCTGTAGCTATCTAATACAGAACAACAGCTTGTTCTTTTGATAACTGTTCTGTTGAAATTTGCCATGCCTGCACTTTCTTTGACAACAGAGAAGCCCTAAGGTAAAAGTAACAATATCGTGGGAAAACATAGTTCTGTTCTTGAAACATATATTAAGATGATGGAGTAAACCTACAACCAATGGTAATTGGATTCATCATAACAGAGGGATCTAAGCTGTTATTGTTGGCCCTAAAATGGTTATGTTTCAAGTGTATGGTAGCTAAGCTTTGAATGGCATTTGATAAGTAAAATAATAAAAGTCTCTCTCTCTAGATCTGTGGTCACCAACCGGTCGCTCATGAGCTACTGGTCGATCTCGAGGCCTCGACCAGTCGCTCGCGAGGCGTCCTGTAAGCCCCGCCCCCATTTCCCTCCCACCCCCCAGAAGCCCCACTACTTACCTCCAGAGAAGACGGAGGTAGTGTCGGCTTCCGGCACGCTGGGGTTTGGCCCCGGGGGTCCCGGCGCGGGGAGGGGGTTGGTGCTGGGACAAGTGCCTGCGGGGCTTCCCAGCGCGGGTAGGGGGGTCGGCTTCCTAGGCGGGCACGCGCGCGAGGCTTTCCTGCATGGGGAGGCGGGT